ACATACTAACATGTAGTATCGAACTTTATCAGGTCTCATCTCCTTCTCTCAATGGACAGGATAAAAATTTTGCAGCATATTCTCTCTCTCTCTCTTAATCATCGGAGGGAATGTCCGTTGACAAATTATATTCTCATTTAGTTGATACTTTTTTTGTCCTTTTATAACAATTAATCACATTTATTAAGAGTGGATGTTTTATTTTCCACTATTCATAAGTTAGTAACATAATGCCTAGACCTCATATACAGGTTTATAAACTTAGAAGACTATGAAGGAGGCTTTGAACTATCAGGTGTTGAGCAGATATTCTCAAGTATCGAATCCAACTACGAGGAATGGACTTCAAGCTTTGCTGCTCTTGTAATTGATCCAATTGATCCTGAATCTGTCGAAAAGTTTGAGAAATCTTTGAAAAGAATGAGACCTGAAGTTGCACTCACCTTGGCTAAAACTGTTTTCTCGATCGATTACCGGGACATGCTCGAGAAAGTAACAACCCCGTGTCATATCATCCAAACAAAAAATGACATTGTCGTTCCAAACTCTGTGCCTAAATACATGCAGAGCAAAATCAAGGGTGAAAGCAGGGTGAAGATTATCGACACCACGGGTCATTTTCCTCAATTAACTGCACATCACGAATTCGTGGAAGTGCTTGATGCAATCTTGGCTGATAAATAACAATCTCAACTCTTCCAGTTTCTGTTTTCTTTGTCTTAAAGTTATGCAAGTTTTCTTTTCTCTTTATTTGTAAAATTAAGCTATTTGGACATAGCGTTGATGTTGTGGATTGGACTGGATGTGATTGTTCCTTAGGTTTGCTACAGAACATCTCTAGTTTTGTTACTTTTCCTTGTTTGTTTTGGATGCATGTTGTCGCCTTCTAGAATCCAATAATGGTTGTAGACTGTATATTTGAGATGACTCATGTCGAATTCTGCATTGCTAAGTTAAAAATTACTATTCAAAATATCATTCTCCTCTCCCCTAATTTCTCTTTATAACATCATTGAACAAAGATCATCATCATCATCATTATTATTATTATTATTATTATTATTATTATTATTATTATTTTATGACGGGAGAACTCGCATCAGCTACCCTTTATGTGCGCACTGAGTAAACCTTCAAGTTGACGCAATGGCTTACAAACCACTCCAATCAGGTAAACAGCACTAGGCAAGTCCTGTGCGATAGGTTTAACCGATAAAATGTTGGTAGGGGGAATCGAAATTGTAACCAAAGACCTCCGCGCTCATCTACTCCACCAATTCGACCAACCCGTGAGGGGCATCATCTAGCATTATTCTATTCTATAACAATGGTATAAAAGTATAAACCCCTTTACTCTTTATACATGGCCTTCCTATTGGAATTAACGAGTATTTAATGGGTTTAATTGGTGATAAATTGTAGCCAATTTTGAGGGACATATTCGATGTTTCCCATGTCTAATAAAAGCATTACTTGGTGGTAGTTGACAGTTGTGAGGTGATTATGATAAAATAATTTTGTTTCACTATATAGTTGAAGAGATGGATGGGAATAAGTCTTCAACGTGCTTAACTTGGAAAAAGCTTTAAACGTCTTTATTAAATGGAAAGGAATCTACATTTTAAAATATATAAATTATTGTACTTCTTCAAGATGTAATTTGGTGCAACCCCTAACTATACCCTAGATTAGCCATTGCTAGAAGGACCCAAGACCAACCACACACCACCCCCGATGGTTCCAATGACCTGGTTTGGTTACCAAACTTTGGTAATTTGCCAAAGGGGGCATTAGACGCTTTAGAGGAGAACTTTGGATGTATACTTTGTCACTAGAAGTCTTAAAGTTTTTAGAAGTAGAATCACGGTGTCAATATTTTAAACTCCAATCTGACCTTCGACCCTGTTAAGATTGATAAATTACGTAAAATCGTTACCAAATATCCCTTTCCTTTTCAAAAGTTGTTGAAATCTCCCCTCAAATTTATTTTCCGTAAGTTCTCTTTATCCACCCTCGATGGAGTTGGACTTGTGATCCAAATTCAGTTGAATTTAAAAAAAAAAAAAAAATGTTTCATTTATTCCACACCCCTTTTATACTGTTTTATTATTCAATAATATTGTTAGAGTTTTGAAAAGTCTCCTATATATAGTTAGCTCTTCTTTACAAGTTGATTTATGACATAAGTTAGAATAATTGTGAGAAATACAATTGTTGTAATTCTTTCTCCATTATAGTTGAATAAAATCTTCAATTCCTCCGTTAAATTAAATTCTTGTTTTGTGTTATTCTTGTTGTTGTGATCAATAATTTATATAGTGTCTTATAACCTCGTTCTGTGTCCAACAAATGGTATCAGAGTTTTTGTGTTTTTTATTTGTTCAAGGTTCTTGTTCTTTATAGCAACCATGAAATATAATATTCTGCTTTTGAATCGCAGTACTAGATTTTTGTTGTGATGGATGAAGATGCAAGTTGTACTAGCACAAATGGATTTGAATGATGCACTGTTGAGATTTGATAAGATGCTTTCAATTTGGTTGACAGAAGAGAAACAACGTAAAGATCGAAAGGCTCTTTCACAAATTCATCTTCATCTTTTGAATAACATTTATCAGAACATTTTAAAGGAGAAAACAACAGCTGCATTGTGATTGAAATTGGAGCAATTGTGTATGATTAAGAGTCTAACCAACAAATTGCACCTAAAGCAACG